GATCCCACTATTTTTGGTCTGTGCGACACGATTCAATTGGAGAACGATCCTCAATACCGTTTCTCTATCTTGTCCATAGCACGAAAACCAATACGCGACCTCTTATAGTTTGACTTCTCTTATAAGTCGAGCTAAGACGGTATAGCGCCATACTGTCCCGATTCGATTCAAAATACCATCAAACCATCTTGGAAATAAATTATCTTTGTATTGAATTAAAAAGAGAGGATTAAGTGTAGACTTCTTCCTCTCCAAGTGTCGAGATGCTCATTATAGTGTGGGTGGTTTTGATACTCGTCTTTCAATACGAAGACGCACCGAGTGCATTTCCATACTTTTTCTCCTAAAAAACCTCGGCCCCGCACCGAGTACATTTTCAAACCTTCCCTCCTAAAAACCTCGGCCCCGTACCGAGTGCATCTTCAACCCTTTTTCTCCTAAAACCTCGGCCCCGTACTGAGTGCATTTTCAAAACACTTCCGATAAAACAATGATTTACCTTTGTATTGAATTAAAGAGATAGGATTGGGTGTAGACTTCTTCCTCTCCGAGTATCAGGATATTCACTGTAGTGTGGGTGGTCTTGATACTCGTCTTTCAATACAAAGACGCGACTTTATCCACTATCCTCCTTTCACAACTTCCTTCAAATTCCTTTCTCACCTAAAAACCTCGGTCCCATACCGAGTGCATTTTCAAACTTCTTTTCATAACAAAACTTGAATGGCCGTGGAGTGGTTAGGCGTAGGCCTTCTCCCTAGTGCTGACGTTTACCGTAGGGTTCTCTGTCGTAAAGCACTTACCATTCAAAACCAAAAACATCTTTAATAAGAGAATGAAGTTCTCTTTGCATTGAATTAAAGAGAGAGGATTGAGTGTAGACTTCTTCCTCTTCGAGTGTTAGGATGCTCATTGTAGTGTGTGTGGTCTTGATACTCGTCTTTCAATACAAAGACGCTACGTTCGCCACACCATTTCATAACAAAAACTTTGAGATAATGAATTGGGTACTACCCGCAAGGGGTTACTATCCAAGGACCTATCTCACCCCTAAAAACAATCTCACCAATCAAACGTGACACCTTGCCTCGCATGGCGAAAACCAATCACCTTTCAAAAAGGATATGTTACATTCATTCTACCGCAAACAGGTAACGCTTAAGTCTCCTCACATGCAAGCAGCAAAACACCTAAACTGCTAGAATGCATACAATAACATCATCCACAAAAACACCAGTTACCCGTAGTAGCACGAACTACATTGCTCTGATTTCTCTTACATGTTGAGAATACGTAGGCATAGGATTGCGACAATCCTAGCGAGCACCCTTTTCTCTTTTCCACCCTTTCCCAGAAAGGCATGCTACGCCCGTTCTACCGCAAACAGGTAACACTTAAGTCTCCTTACATGCGAGCAGCAAAACACCTAAACTTCTAGAATGCACAAGATAGCATCGTCTACCAGAACTTCCCCGCACACCGTAGGCCGAACTACGGCGGCTCTGATTCTTTACTTCATTCAAGTAAAGATATGTAGGTACAAGGGCCACAATCCTTGCCGAGCACATTCCCCCCTATATCTGTAGTTCCCCGAACTACGTCGACTCTGACTTTCTCATGTCTCTTGAGCATACGTAGGCCTAGGACCACGAAGTCCTACCGAGTCTGGTTATTTCTCTCTTTTCCCTCGTTACCTCTCTTTCCCCTGTTTCTAACCCTTCTTTTACCCCGTGGAACACTCTTTTATAGCATAATCTTTAAGCAAATATTATCACACATCAACAAACAAATGGTTCCCATCGAGTACGATGGATGCGAGGGGTGTTAATACCTTCCCTTCACATAACCGGCTTTCGAAACCGTTCTTGGTCGCAAGACCATCTTATCCATTTCTTTCCTAAGGTTTTCTCGATATTTTCCTTTCCCCTCATGGGATAAATAAAGTTCGGTGACAACTCTTCTGTCTGTCTTTTTCGCCTCCCCGTCGTTGTACGATGCATTTTTCGAGTAGCGACACGGCTGTGGGCTGGATCGTAAGTCCCACAATAGATGACTGTCAGGATCCTACGTGGAGGTAGTGAAGACCAGCACGTGGTCTTCGTCTTAGGTTAGCTGCCCACCAACTTCGGGAAGTGGATGACCTATTCTCAAGGACGTGGGTTCAGTTGGTGACATGTTCCCGCGTGAGGAGCACGCGGAGAATATGTGGGGACTTCTACATTATGCTCACTAACATTAGGCTCACTAACATTATTCTCATTAACAGTTGGCTTACTAGCATTATCCTCACTAGTTTTACCCTGACTAAAATCAGTATATTCTACCTCATCCTCATCAATGTAATTTTCTAGTTCACTCGGATCCACAATCTCAGGTGGGTCAGATACCTTATGCTCTACATATATATCCATAATCTGATGCCCTATCTTTGGCAAACTCCAACACATCTTTATCATTATTTAATGGCCTAAGATCATGTGCAAAGCTGAAGACAAGGTTCCAATACCACAAACATTTTATGTCCACATAACCCTCACTTTTAATTAAATTCTCCAAATCCATATAGTTCATGAAATCCACATCCCATCTCCAATTCATCTCAGTTACCTCTCCACCAACATACCACTTAACAGGTTCAGAAACTAATTTTTCCATATAGGGTATTCTTAACCTAACCTTATTACTCTGACTTGGCCTAAAAAATTATTGCATACATATGAAAATAACATCAGAATAATTTAACACTCAGTGGGACACACGATGAAAGCAACAAACATAACATGGTGGACCACAACAAAATATTAAACAAATAAGGTGGAACAAACATGGTGGTCCACACGAAGAAAGGAACAAACATAACATGGGGACATGTTGACCCTACAAAAGGAACACAAAAACATACCTTAAACAGAATCTGACTTGTCCACTAGACATCTTTGCGAATCCAAGCAAGAACATTGTGAATTTGAAATTGGTTTGAGTGGAACTTAGGGTGAAATTTGGGGTTGTTCTTCTTCATGAATCCAAGCAGGTTCTTTTTCATGTTTAGGTTTTTTTTTTGTGAAAGTTTGGAAATCTAATTATTGAAACGTTACCCATGAGTTTTTAATGAAGAATTCCATTTTTTTAATGTTTTAAAATGATTTACATAATTTTAAAATTATTTTAAAAAGAAAATATAATATCAGAATTAATAAATAATAAAAAATAGTAACATGGATCCACAATAGTGTTGCTACATTCAAAATAAAATTACCAAAAATACATTTAAACCTATATTTTAAAAACAAATGCACGTAACACATCGGTACAAACACAGGAGTATCCCATTAGTTTAAATAATAAAAATCATATTACATTCCCACCTTTCTCTTTTCTATATCTATTTGAATCAAACAAACTCTAAAACTATGTCTGAATTGATGGGATGAGATGAAATAAAATAGAGCGGTAACTATAGTCTATTATAATTTCATTCTTTGAATTTGTAAATAATAGATAAAATGAAATAGAACATCATTGAATCTATTTCATTCAATTCCATCATATTTCATTCAATTTCTCATTTTATGTTCATCCAATTTAAGATATATCAGATGAAATAAGATATTTTTAATAAAATAAAAAAAACAATTTATGCTCCGCTTATAATGTTCCATCTAGAGATGGCAACGGGGCGGGGCGGGGACGGTTCTTGTATTCCCCAAACCCAAACCAAAATCCCAAATAAATCTCCGTTTCCCGCCCCCGAATTCTAGCAGGGATGAATAATTGAACCTCAACCCCATCTCAAATGGGTTCGGGGATTCCCGCCCCTAAACCCAAATCCTGCCTCAAACCCAAATTTTGCCCCGAATCCAAATTTCGCCCCAAATCCAAAACCTGTCCCAATCTTAAGAAATATTAACTTGTATTACAAAAATAAAATACAATCTTAAAGAATTTCAAACATATATTTCGAATTATAAAATACAAACAAAAGTATTAATTCATTAATCATACAATTAATATTTCAAATTAGCAAAATCAAATAATACAAAATATAAAAACTAAATAATAAAATACAAATTGATATTACAAACTACCATCCAAACAAACACATAGTAAAAAATATAATGTATGATTTTATAAAAAATATTATGATTTTTTTAAATAATAATAATAATAATAAACGGGGCGGGTTCGGGGTGGGTACTACAGTCCCATTACCCGTCCCGTCCCCATATTTAAAAATCGGAAAAAATCCAAACTCTTCTCAAACCAAGTCAAAGTGGATTTTCTCAGTCAAATTTAGGGCGGATATCCGGGTATGAGTTATATTGCCATGTCTATCAATCTAAATATAAACCAATGTAAAATGGACGCTGGGGTAAAATGAATGCTGCACATCATACGCCCATATCAAAATGTGCTCCACCCACTATCTCTCACTTTACTGATCTTTGGTCAACATTTCCGCGACTCCTACCACCACCGCCGTCTCACTCTCTCACTATAGCGTCAACATTTCAGCGATTCCTACAAGCCACCGCCGTCTCACTCCCTCACTGTAGCGTCAACATTTCGGCGACTCCTACAAGCCACCGCCGTCTCCCTCTCAACCGTAAGGATTCATCAAAATCGCTACTCTTTCTTTTACTTATTATCATTCATTCTTCTGTTTTCATAGTATTATTAAAAATATTCATAACTTTGATTATTTATTAGGGTATTTCATTTTTCATGCTTAGATTATACGCTTTCATATCAAATAAGAAAAATATTGATTAACTTAAAAATATAATATACTTTATTGTTGAATGGATAGTCACACTGCTGCTGGTTTACAACTCTGCAAAAAAATGTGAAGAGAATTGAAATTTGAAGATGTACCTTGTTAATTGGAAAACCATCTAGGGACGATCCCATTCCATTCCATTGTTGAATATGGATGATATACTTTTACTATTTTATTTATACCTATTATTTACACTTCATTTTGAATTTGTTGTAGTTCTATGATGACTTTGCTCAACAAGAAGGCCAATCAAAATGATAGAATCAGTGACTTACCAAGTAATGTCATTGATGGCATCTTGGGAAACATGAAAGTCAGAGACCAAGTTAGGACTAGTATTTTGTCAACAAAGTGGAGGTATATGTGGACTTCAGCCCCACATTTTTGTTTTGATGACGACTTTTATCAAAGGTTTATGGATCTCAATGACCCTTACCCTGTAATGTATAAAACCATCACGAATGTTCTTATGCTCCACAATGGGCCAATACACAAGTTTTCTATTTACGTATCTAGACACTATGAATTCAATATCTCAATGGAAAATCTCAATAAGTGGATCCCTTTTATGTCAAGGGACATTAAACATCTCGAGCTTGTGACCCACGGCCCTGAGAAAGATCAAATGCCTGGTATTCTTTTCTCTTGTAAGGAATTGACTTACTTCAAAGTTAGCTCATTTAACTTGTCAATTCCACCTAATTTCTGCAGCTTTAAAAAATTGCTTGAACTTCACTTAGAAAGTTGTGATGAAATCGAGTCCAGTGCACTTGAGAGTTTTATGTCTGGTTGTCCGATTCTTGAAAAGCTCACCATTGGATTATGTTGTGGTTGTGATCATCTTGTTATATCTTCTCCTTCTCTCAAAGTTTTAGTGCTGAGATGGATCGATACAAAGTCAATTTGTCTCAAGAAAGCAAATAATCTGATTGATTTTACACTCACGACATATGCGGGCCGAGGTTTTACCAAAAGCTTGCCAAAAATTAAGAGGTTTTCTTTTGCCAAATGGAGAAAGGTTAGAAAAATCACTAATTGTAGTATTTTTATTGTTTTTAGTTGGCCTCACTGTTAGATTTTTTCAAGACTATCTTACTCTTTTATTGTAAAGTTGGCCTCACTGTTAGAAGTGATGTTGAATTTTGATTGATGGTCTAATCCAATATTTATATTGAAAGTTGTGTTATTGCTACTTCTAAACATTGTACATATAATCTAATAGATTTGTTATTTGTATGTTTAGATCCCATTTCCAGATATCATTCCTCCCACGCTGCTAACAAGCTCATTCAGCTCTTTAGAATATCTGAAAGTGGATTACTTGAACTCAAATGATAAAAGAGAAATGTTGTATTTTGTCAGTGTTCTCAAAAGTGCTCCTAAGTTGATTGAACTTGATATAAAGGTGAACATGAACACCTATGTTTCTTAGCATGTTTTTTAGTTACTAGTTTAGTTAACTTTTCTTGAATGTATTTTATTTACAATTTTCAGGTGAAAAAATTAAGTAGAAAATTTGTTGTTAAATCTTGATGGGGTTAAATAGTATTTTCAATCCCGTAACTCTAGATGGCATGCTCTACTAAGGTCTAGTTAATGGAGAGACAAACTAGTCCATTTTATCACATGCTAGTGGTGATGAACAAGCTGTTTTTAATAATTACTTTTAAAAAAAATTGGTTAATTTGTCAAACCAATTAAAGCTCAATTTAGAGCGTGTTCGTAATTTCAAACTAGTTTTTTTTTTTAAAGAACCAGATTTTTTTTTAATTGGATTTCAAACTGATTTTCTTATACTTTAAAAAAAAATGATTTTTTGTGAAATTTTTAAAAGAATTGGATTTAAATCCTGTTATTAATGTTTTTTTAATTTAAAATTTGATACAAATAGCAATTAAGAAAAAACGTTTGAATAACATTTTTAAAAGTCTTCGGTTTTTAGATAGTTTTGAATAGGGGTGAGTAGGAGGCGAGTCGGGAAGGGTTATGCTCTAACTCTGGCATAAATTTTGATCGGACTATTTTAATGATCCTAACTCGTACCTAAATTTGAAAAAAAATCGATAATATATATGCTAGTTTATACTGGATTAATGTAAAGACGATATCGGGTTGACCCGAAATATATGGAAAAAAATTTAGTGACTTAAGAAACTTATTATAGTATTTTAAAAAATTCATTTAAATGAGAAATATGAATAAAATCATTAGCATGATGAAAAACAATAAAGACATCTAAAGTCAATTTTTTAAAATAAAAAATATGATATAATTCTATATATGTCATCACCCTTTTATTTTCACTAAAACATAGTAGTAAGAAGATGTAAAATAAAAAACATGATGTAAGAGAATTAGTGAAGTGTGAAGTTGGAAAGTGGGAAGATGTGTATTTAGCACTTACTGAGTGCATATTTTAAATTATGAGGTGGAAAGTGGAAAAATGTATTGGAATTTTGGAATAATTTAAATATACCAATAAAATAAATAAATAAATAGTACCACGTGTACATTCATAATATTAGGACGAGTTAGGTAACCCGAGGGTCAACCTGAATCCGTCCTAACTTGATACCGGATTCATTTTTGGAGAGTCTTTTTTGTTGTTGCATGAGACTGAAAAAAGACTAACCCGAAATTATTAGATTGAGACGGATCTTTTGGATTGGGTTAGATTATGCACACCTTTAGTTTCGAATTTGAATAAGGATTTAAGTTTGTACTAAAATTAATGTCACCTCTCTCTACCTAAATAAACGTAGTTCAATCATCGGCGTCTATTCTCTCTACTTAATGATGATGGTTCTTTTGAAATCACTACTTAAGTTCAAATATTTGATATCTCATCCAAATTTATGAACACCAAATTGAATAAAAAAATGTAAAGAGACAAAATGGACTATTTAAGTTTTGTTTGATAAAACTAACGGATAGCTGGTAAGTTAGTTGGTAGGTGATAACTAATAGTTGATAGATTATAGGTGATGACTTGTAGCTAATAGTTGACGACTTTTAGCTAATAAACTAATTTGAGTGTTTGTTAAATTAACGGTTAGCTGATAAATACAAAATGACATAAAAGAACATTCTTAATTAAAAAAACCAGTAATCCTATTTATTAAATTAATTTTTATTCAATAAAAATAAATGTATTAATAATCAAATACAAAACATTTTAAATATAAATATAAAATTAAACATAACACAAAAATATATTAAACATTTATATATAAATTTTGTAATAAAATTTAAATATCTAAAATAATAATATTGTAATTTGATCTTATATTCCAATAAAATGCATATTTTTTTTTCTCTCTCAAAATTTTTGATATGCCTACTAATAAACAAATATATTCAATCATTCATTATCATATTTATAAAAATAATATATTAATAATAAAAGCTCAAGTAATAAATAATTAAAATAATAATTTAAAAGTAATAAAAAAATCAATATAATGAGTCAAAATATTTCATTAATAACAAAATGGAAGATGGATTGCATAGTAAATTTGTTCGGTAGAAATAATGACTAACATTTTTTATTCCCTCAACTAAAACACAATTATTTTGATTTAAATCATAATAATATAAAGGATAAAAATGAATTTTTGATAAAATAATGAGGATACAAATATAAGAAAAAATCATAAGGTAAAAGTTATAGGCTTAAAAGCTACTTCAAATAATTTTTGAATAAAAAGTTAAAAACTAGTAAAAAAAGTTATAAATTAAAAGATAAAAGACAATTATCAAATAATTTTTTTTCATTAATATGAGCTGAAAAACTATAATTTATATAAATTAGAAAATCTTTTTTGTCTTAACAAACATACTCTTAATCTAAACAATCATAAAAATTGTAATGACAAGGTTTGTTTATGTTTCTTTGTATTTTTTGAACATAAATCTTTCTTAGTATTTCTTGAACATAAATTACTTAAAATGAGTTTTATGATACATTTGTCACACCTTGGTTGATGGCTCAAACAAAAAGACAGTTGTGATAGAGTAAAATAATAAAATAATTTCTAATTATCATTTTAAAAATTAAAAGCAAGAGGATGGTTGAATTTTAACACAAAATGGTTGTTAAACCGTCATGACAATAAATATTTGTTTGCAAATACATAATTTTTTTGAAAAATTATAAAGGATAGCATTAAAAGGTAAGCTATAGAACATAACTTAGATATTTTTGAATATTATATATTTTGATCATAGAAATCAAAGAGAATTAAATAATACGATGAGATGTAAAATTTTGTAAATATACGTATTTGTAGGTATGAAGTTGATGATTTTGTTGATAACCTTTGTTGTGATCACAAACGATATCTTTCAACAAATCAAGATTGAGAAACAAAGTTTTTGGGTGAACAATGAAATCAATTAGAACAAAGAGAAAAAAAGAAGAAAGGATAAAGAAGAAAGAAGAAAAAGAAGGATTAAAGCAAATTGTTTACTATTCACTTTCTCGTAAGAGTTTACAAATGATTACAAATGAATATCACAATTGGCACCACTCAACAATCTGAGTGGTCTATCCTATATATAGACTAACTAGATAGCTTGCAACACAAGCTAACTAAACAATTGGATCCATAACAAAAGACCCAATTCGACAAATATTTCGACAATACATATTAGAACAAACTTCGACTACAATATGTATCCTTCGACCACAACATGCGACCCATCATCGACTTCATACTTGTCTCTTGTCGAAATACAAGAAAGTTATTCCTCGACAAAGCTTGAATTCGACCCAAAATCTCACAACCTTCTTAGTATTTTGATGACGACAAAACTAATGACGGTTGAAGTCAGTGGTAATATTCTTCATCCTTCTTGATGATTGTGATTAAATTGAATACATCTCAAATGGTTCGAGATTAGTCTAATATAAAATTTCACTTGGTTTTTGAGTTCAGTTTGTGTAAAAGTTTATTAGGTTTGAGATCATCCTAGTAAAAATCTCGGCTCGGTTCGCATTAAGCCCTTATGAAATTGCGGTTTGGTTAAGAGGATAACCAACTCAAAACTCCATCTTAGTTCAAGATTAGCCTGTGCAAAATCTCAACTTAACTTATAAACTAACCACTCGATGTATTGTTCGTTATTTGTCACGAAGACTAACCGCTTCATTTCGCAACTTGTTGTTTGGTTGGAAGTTACGTGAAACTTTATTTCCTTGTATGGGGGGTTCGTGAGTTTTACATTTTAAAATCTCTCAAGCATTAGTAGAAACTCTCAAAATCAATTTCTAAGGAGAGGACTAGGTCTCTTCAATAGGCCGGACCTTTTTAATCTCTTGGTGTTATCTCTCTTCTCTTAACTATTTTATTTTTCGCTGAATATTCAAACTATTTCATTAAAATGTTTTCAAACTCTTTTAGAAGATAGTTCTATTTTAAACTATCGTTTTTTAAACCAACATAATTTACCCCTACTCACTATATCAATGGTGAAGTAGTAGATAAACCATATTCTTTTGGACCGTAAAAGAGAAAAGAAAATTCGAAAATGGTTTTAAAACTAAAAAATTCTTAGTTATATCCTTAAATGTAATAAATTGATTTATGTTCATAACTGTAAATTTGGCAAGAAAATATGGGAAACTCTTGAAATGATCAATGGAGTTTCTCTAAGTTTTGAACAAGAGAGAATGGACACTTGAGGTGAAGAAGATGAATGTCTCTTTCACAAATGTTTATCAACCTCTTAGATATTTTGGAAATAATGTTAGAACTTTGGTTGCTAAAAAAAATCTAAGAATTAAGAATTGAAATCAGAAAATTGATCTAATCCTTAAATCGAGAGATGATAATGTTTATATTTTTTAAGAAAAATATTAGAAGGAAACAAATTTGTCAAGAAATTGATTGGGTTGATTGAATTGTTAAAGGATGAAGGCATGAGCTCAAATCTAGAAATATCTATAGCAACTTCATTATAAAATCCCGTGAAAACAAATTAATTCCAGTAATCTCCTATGAAAGAATTGTCACGGTGGTTGAACAATCTTTAGAGAATTCCACACAAAATGGAGAAACTTCATCAAAAAGAGAATATGAAGAAGAAGTCTCATCTAGTGAAATATTAGAGAGAAGAAAGGAGAAGAAACTCTCAATAAAATAATACATTTAGAGATTCAACGTCAAGAAGAAATATTGAAAAGTCAACCTCTAATAGACCATTTGAATAATCTTTTCTCAACGAGGAAGACGGAATTTTATTGAAAGCATCTCACGAAAAAGATGACATTAAAATAACAAAGATATCATACAAGTAGTTGTTTAAATTAAACGCTATGCTAATTAAAGAAAATTATAAGATTAAAAAGCATAATGTAGGACCTGTAGGTGTTAAATATTATCTTGGATATCTAGAAAAGAGTAATGAAACGCTTAAGTAAGAAATAGCTAA